TGGATAATAAAACGTATCTTATTTTTCTTCTCTTCTTTGCAATACACTCGTCATTGTGTTATGCAAATTCTGTAAATGTCTACGAAGATTTTGTCCGATGTTTCAAAAACGAGACAAATACCTCCGATAAGGATCTATCCGACGTCGTTTTGCCACGTACCACCGTCTCCTTCACCACCGTCTTACGCGCTTACATCAGAAACGCGCGTTTCAACACCACCTCAACTCCCAAACCAACGGTTATAATCGTTCCACGTGTCGAATCCCACGTTCAAGCCGCCGTGATCTGCACGAAAACGCTAAAATTCCAGTTGAAGATCAGAAGCGGCGGTCACGACTACGACGGTCTCTCTTACATCTCCTCCGCCGTAACTTTCTTCGTCCTCGATCTCTCTAATTTCCGAAACATCACCGTCGATTTAAACGATGACGGAGGATCCGCATGGGTACAAACCGGAGCGACGCTCGGCGAGCTTTATTACCGGATCTGGGAGAAGAGCGAGATACACGCTTTTCCCGCCGGGCTCTGTCCTACCGTCGGCGTCGGAGGACACGTAAGCGGCGGTGGATACGGACACATGATTCGAAAATTCGGACTCACGATAGATCACGTCGTCGACGCGAAGATCGTCGTCGCTAACGGCGAGATTCATGATCGGAAAATGATGGGAGAGGATCTCTTCTGGGCGATTCGCGGCGGAGGCGGTGGAAGCTTCGGCGTCGTTTTGGGTTTCAAAGTGAAACTCGTGAAGGTACCAAAAACCGTAACTGTATTCAGGGTCGATAAATTTATGGACGAAAATGCCCTCGATTTGGTTTATAAATGGCAATTCGTAGCTCCGAGAACCGACCCGGGTTTATTCATGAGAATGTTGGTATCCTCTGCGACGCAGAACAAGACTCGTACGGTGCGAGCTAAATTAAGAGCTTTGTATTTAGGTGATGCAAACGACGTCGTTTTGAAGATGAGTGAGGAGTTTTCGGAGTTGGGTTTGAAGAAAGAAGATTGTAAAGAGATGACGTGGATTCAATCACTCTTATGGTGGATGAACCATGTAGAAGTTGACAAGGTTAAACCGGAGATTTTACTCGAGAGAGAATCGGATTCAGCTAAATTTCTCAAGAGGAAATCTGATTACGTTGAGAAAGAGATGACCAAAGGAGAGTTAAACCGGTTGTTTCAGAAATTGGCGACTTTGGATAGAACCGGTTTGGTTTTGAATCCGTACGGAGGGAATTTTAACGCCACCGCAACGAATGAAACGGCGTTTCCGCATAGGAACAAACTATACAAAATCCAACATTCCGCGACATGGTCCGATGCTGGACTGGAAGCGGAAAGACTTTATATTGATAATTTAAGAACGACCTACAAAATCATGACCCCATTCGTGTCGAAAAACCCAAGAAGTTCCTATTTGCCCTATAGGGATATCGATATCGGGGTTAATGACCATGGAGTGGATAGTTATCGAAAGGGAGAAATCTACGGGAGGAAATATTTTGGCGATAATTTTGATCGATTGGTTCGGGTGAAAACCGATGTAGATCCGGAAAATTTCTTTAGGAATGAGCAGAGTATACCAACGTTACCTCCTAATAAGAGAAGATAAATAGTAGACAATTTAGTTTACGTGACTATTGTAACTTCTCTTTAATTAGCACAGTTTCTTTATGGAACTTGGAATAAATTTTGACAACAAATTTAGCCGCAAGTTATACTTAATATGATACATAGAAAGTAATAGTGTACTTAATATATCATATGAGAAGCGTAAGAGTTTATCTAGTGATCTGTTTGCGAAGTTAGAGACAAATCTGTTTACCACAAATTAGTTAAATAACAATGATATACTATCTAATAGTCTACTTGGACGATAATCAAAGTCTACTTCTAAATGCACAACAAAATATGAAAATGTTGAGGAAAGTCTAACACAATTACGACATGAACATGATGATAATCATAAAATGGTAAATCCTCTACAAAGACGAATAGAATATTCCAATGGTCAAAAACTTGTTGGTTACCAAAAAAAGGACTGTATGAAAATATTAACATTACGAAAAAGGACATAACCAGACGAGTCACTCTCAAACATCATCATCTAACAGACACAAAGCATCAAATTTGTTAATGCTCTCAAACGTACGACGATCTTGTTGCTGCTGATGATCTTTTTTAGATGATGTTGATGTGCTCATAGATGTTGCATTCATAATATTGAAGTTAAGATCCTCTACATGGTCTACGAAGATGTAGACTCTATTCCACCTGTCAAACACTTGATGGTTACCTTGGATTTCAACAGCTTGCAAAGTGTTTCTTTCGGGATTGAAGTAGAATATGTAAAACGGGTTAAATGCATAGTCCGTATACAAAACAATTTCACCTGTAGATGTTACTCCAGCAACGAAAACTTTGTAGGGATTAACGATCCTATTATCCGAAAAAGTGTAGACATATTTCGACCATTCATGTTTCTCCATATCCTCTAGAACCCACATACTCAACTCAATGGCACCAACGTCATCATCAACGTCCCAAGTAATCCCACCTAATTTACCTTTATAGTTTATCAATCTAGTACGAAAATAATTAAAGAATCTTGCGGGGATAAACTTGAATTTCTCACACCTAACATCAAAGCAAACTACCATCAATTCATCATATTCTTCAGCTATGTAATGCAAAACCCCATTGATGCATATCCCTTCTCTCTGAGTCTCAGGGGCAAAGGGACATTCGATCTTCCTCCACATCATTTCTCCATTTCCTAATGTCAGAATTTGATGATCATCCCTATCATCACTATCTGGCCAAGCCATGGACAATAGCTTGAATTGCTTGTCAATCGGATCAAACCCTAAAAAATCAGACGACTTTATGGAACTTGTCAATTTAGGTATAATGGCATATTGTCCCGTGCTAGGGTTGCATATCACAGGCTTATTATCATAAACCTTTGAGATAAATATATTAGAGAAACAGATCAAACCAGAGGCATAGCCACATGAAAATGGACGGCTCCAACCATGAGAGAAATTAATTTGGTCTCGAGGGAACTTCATATGAAAATCAGCGGTTACAACAAGAGAAGATGACTGCTCATACAGAATCTGAGGCTGAGGAACCGAGTAGAACTGCCACGCACCATTATTAACTGGTTCAATGGCGAGTAAGAGACGTGGACGAGCCGGTGATATAGAACTCAAAAGAAAGATCAACACCGAATAAACTCAACA